GGGGAGGGAGGGGCAGGTCAGACGCGGCCCCAGGCCACACTGCGCGGGGCCCTGCAGGCTCGCCTCGCGGACGCGGCTCCCAGGAGCCCCTTAGAGGTCGGGAAACCCTGGGTTTTGTTGATCTGAAACCCACTGTTCTCGGGGGAGCAGGGTGCACGGAGCCTTAACGAGATCAGGATTTGACACGGGCCCGGCTCTTTGTGGGTGGACGGGCCGCGTGTGGGTGGAGCCCGAGATGGTGGGAAAGAAACCGGAGGCAGGACGGCGGCCATGTCTCAGGGAGCGGCCCGTCCACATGCCATCGGCGTAGCCCACCTGGGAGCCAGGGGGCAGCCGCGCCCCGGAGAGAGTTATGTGACGTCAGGAAAGCCCGAGGGCGAGAACCGTGGTTCTCCGGGGACACGATGGGTGACTGGGGCACCTGGGAAGGGACCACGCCCCCTCTTGGAGTGGCAGGGGGCTCGGGGCAGTGCCCGGGGGCTCGGCAGCCGGGTGTGGGCGCCGGCACGGGCGCGGGGGGCGCGTACTTGCAGTCCTGCCTGGGCTTGGGGATGTAGCCCGGGAAGGCGTCCTCCGTGATGGCCTTGCACATCCTGCTGTCCCGGTCGGAGGGCAGGAGCGTCCCCGCCTTGACGAGGAGGCCCAGGCAGTGGTCGAAGGTGTTGCGCTCCTCCGGCCCGTCCTCCGTGAAGAAGCAGTGGCCCAGCGAGTCGTAGCCCACGACGTCCTTGACCTGAGGGGCGAGGGGGGCCTGTCACCACGGGGAGCACGGGGCCAGGGGGCGGTCGGAGGTGGACCGGACGCTGGGGTTGGGCCTGAGGGGACTGGGGAGGGCCGGACAGGTCCCTTCCAGCTCGAGTTGTTCCGGCCGAGGCCCCAAGGGATGGGAAGAGGGATAAAGCATGAGAAGCAGGTGTGGCCCTGACCGGTGTGGCTCAGTGGGTAGAGCGTTGGCCTGCAGACTGAAGGGTCCTGGGCTTGATTCCGGTTTAGGGCATGTACCTTGATTGCGGGCACATCCCATCCCCAGTGTGGGGGCGTGCAGGAGGCAGCCGATCCATGATTCTCTCTCATCATGGATGTTTCTCTCTCTCTCCCTCTCCCTTCCTCTCTTAACTTAAAAAATACTTAAAAAAAAAAAAAAAGCAAGTGTCACAAACACAAATGCACGGGTGGCACCGGCCAGGCATCGCCTGAGACACACGAGGAGGCGGTGGGCTCGGGCCCCCGAGGAACGCAGGCCGGCCCAGCGGGGCAGCCGGGACTCTCGGCCAGGCAGCAAGGCAGGTCTGGTGCCGCCGGCTTGGCCGACGTTCCCAGAGAAGCCGGAACCCGGCTCTGACGTGAAATCTCTCGGTGCTTAAACCGTGGGAGCGGATTTGAATGTTGCTTTAAACACCGTTCAGGCCAAAGGAAACACATCTGGGGCCCGAATGGCACCTGGGACATCTGATCGTAAAGTTCACAGGGGCGTGAGTTTGGTCCGTGAGAAGGGGGTGCGGGGCAGCATACAATGATCGGTTTAGAGAATAAACGATCAGATGTTTCTCTAAACATCGTGCGGGGCGAAGCAAACACAAGCTGGAGGTGCCATTCTGTGTCGTCCAGTTGGACACGTTTACAGAAAATACTAGAGGCCCGCTGCACGAAATTCATACACTGGGTGGGGGGCGGTCCCTCAGCCCAGCCTCCGCCCTCTCGAAGTCCAGGAGCCCTCAGGGGATGTCCGACTGATGGCTTAGGCCCGCTCCCCATTTAAGCCGGCAGTTGGAGAGGCTCCCACCACCACCTCTGCGCTCACCAGCTGTGAGCCCGGCTTATGGCTGAGCGGCACTCCCCCTGTGGGAGCGCACTGACCACCAGGGGGCTGCTCCTGCATTGAGCACCTGCCCCCTGGTGGTCAGTGCGTGTCATAGCGACCGGTCGTTCCGCCGTCCGATCGATCTGCATATTAGCCTTTTATTCTATAGGATAAGTTGGGCCCGGCTGGCGTGGCCCAGTGGCTGAGCATCAACCTAGGAACCAGGAGGTCAGGGTTCGATTCCCGGTCAGGGCACATGCCCGGGTTGCGGGCTGGATCCCCAGTGTGGGGCGTGCAGGAGGCAGCTGATCCCTGATTCTCTCTCATCACTAATGTTTCTATCCATCTCCCTCTCCCTTCCTGTCTGAAATCAATACAAAATATATATTTTTTTTTTAAAAAAGAACTATCTGTGCAAGTCAAGATAGGCCTCTGACAGTCAGGCCGACGAGCTAATGACCACACGTCTCCCAGCAGACTTTGCTCTGACAGACACTTGGTCTGCGGGCAGCAAAGGGCTCGGTGGCCGGGCTGACACCACAGCTGTCCCCCCCACCCCGTACCCCGTGACCACCACCCCTGCGTCTTGGTGCCCTGCGGCAAGCAGTCAGCCCATTTTCTCCTTCTCTTTGGCTGGCAGCTGCTGTCATTGGAGGTCACTGGTGCCCAAGGGGAGGGAGGGTGGTTCCGCCCCGAGACCCTGGACTTGGTGACCCGAGAGCTGGCTGCGTGGCGGGAGGGAGGGCCCTCGAGGTCCGTTCTCCTGGGAGGAGGGAGGAGGGAGGAGGGGGAGCGCTCACCAGCAAGCCGTTGGAGCCGTGGACGGTGACGCAGCGCGAGAAGGTGTGGTGGATGGACAGGTCCCGCACGTAGGTGGGCGGGTCGTAGCCGCCGCGCTCGTCCAGGTCGCCCGCCAGGTGGAAGTGGATGGGGTACTGGCCCACCAGCTGCTGCCCCATGTGCCGCAGCTCCACGCCCTCCAGGTGCGCGGCCTTGAAGCCCAGGGCGAACTGGGAGGAGGGACGGAGGCGGGGGGGAGGCGGGAGTCAGAGGAGGCGGTAGTCGCTCCCTGGCACCCTGGTGTGGCTGGTGGGACTGGTGTGGCTGGTGTGGCTGATGAGACTGGTGTGGCTGGTGTGGCTGATGGGACTGGTGTGGCTGGTGTGGCTGGTGGGATTGGTGAGGCTGGTGTGGCTGGTGGGACTGGTGTGGCTGGTGTGGCTGGTGGGACTGGTGAGGCTGGTGTGGCTGGTGGGACTGGAGTGGCTGGTGTGGCTGGTGGGACTGGTGAGGCTGGTGTGGCTGGTGGGACTGGTGTGGCTGGTGTGGCTGGTGGGACTGGTGTGGCTGGTGTGGCTGGTGGGACTGGTGAGGCTGGTGTGGCTGGTGGGACTGGTGTGGCTGGTGTGGCTGGTGTGACTGGTGTGGTTGGTGTGGCTGGTGTGACTGGTGTGGCTGGTGTGATTGGTGTGACTGGTGTGGTTGGTGTGGCTGGTGTGACTGGTGTGGCTGGTGGGACTGGTGTGGCTGGTGGGACTGGTGTGGCTGGTGTGGCTGGTGGGACTGGTGTGGCTGGTGTGGCTGGTGGGACTGGTGTGGCTGGTGTGGCTGGTGTGGCTGGTGTGGCTGGTGTGACTGGTGGGACTGGTGTGATTGGTATGGCTGGTGTGGCTGGTGTGATTGGTGTGACTGGTGTGATTGGTATGGCTGGTGTGGCTGGTGGGACTGGTGTGACTGGTGTGGCTGGTGTGACTGGTGGGACTGGTGTGACTGGTGTAGCTGGTGTGGCTGGTGTGATTGGTGTGACTGGTGTGGTTGGTGTGGCTGGTGTGACTGGTGTGGCTGGTGTGGCTGGTGGGACTGGTGTGGCTAGTGAGGCTGGTGAGGCTGGTGTGGCTGGCGTGGCTGGTGGGACTGGTGTGGCTGGTGGGATTGGTGGGACTGGTGTGATTTGTGTGACTGGTGGGACTGGTGTGGCTGGTGGGACTGGTGTGGCTGGTGGGACTGGCGGGACTGGTGGGACTGGTGTGGCTGGTGGGACTGGTGTGGCTGGTGTGGCTGGTGGGGCTGGTGTGGCTGGTGTGGCTGGTGTGGCTGGTGGGGCTGGTGTGGCTGGTGTGGCTGGTGGGACTGGTGTGGCTGGTGTGGCTGGTGTGGCTGGTGGGGCTGGTGTGGCTGGTGGCTGGTGGGTCTGGTGTGGCTGGTGTGGCTGGTGGGACTCGCGGGACTGATGGGAGGGGCGTAGGGATCTGTCCCCAGTTTGCGCCCTGTCTCTCCTGTTTCCAAGTCTCGATGGGTGGGACAGCACGCCAGCAGTTAACACATAAGACTTCTCCACACTCCAGAAGGTTCTCCTGCCTCAGCCCCTCTCCTTCCCCTCCGCCCCCTCCACCCCTCCCACACGCAGCCTGGCGCCCTGGGAAGTCTCAGGTGGGGTTGGATGGGGCTCTGGCCGCACGGGGCAGGCCCCTACCTTGATGTGGCCCCCGAAGGTGTCGAAGTCGAAGAAGCTGCAGATGTGGCTGGTGTAGGGGTAGCACCCGGCCTCCATCTCCCCTGCGATCACCAAGTTGCGGCTCAGCAGCCCGACCTCGGCCCGCATGTCCACGCCGTCGACCTCCTCCCCGATGTGCAGGTACATGGGCTTCCCTGGGGCAGACACGGGGGGCAGGGGGGGGCATCAGAGGGGCTGCGTGTGCTCAGGGGCTCCGGCCCTGCCGGCTGCCTGACCCTCCTGAGCAGGGATCCCTCCACGGCCTGCGTGGCGGCCCCAGGCCCTTTGCACGGCAGGAAGCCCAGGGAGGGGAGGCCGCCTCTGAGCGGCCACACATGCTCAGACCTGGGGCCGGGGCCGGCACGGCTGTTTGTCCCCAGGATCCGCCCCTCTTCCACTTTTCAGGACTGAAATCCCCAGGGTGTCAGGCGGACACAGGGCTTCACGGGAGAGACAGGTGCCCGGCGCCCTGCAGCTGCTGTGGGCACAGGGCGGGCAGAGCGATGGGGGCCCCCTCGGGGGCCCTGCTCCCGGGCTGGAATGTGGACATGTGGGGGTGATCCAGGCCCCCCCCTCCCTTGGGCAGGTGAGGAGCGGGCCCTGGACATGGCACACCATCGAGATAGGAAACCTGGGCTCTGATGGCCCCCTGAGCTCACGCCCCAACCTCCACGTGGCTGGGATTCTTACAGACATGACGCGCACCCCCCCGCCCCCCCGGCTGTGAGGCCCCTGCCACAGCCCATATTCGTGAAAGCGAACCTGTCTGTGCCCAACTGGCTTCAGCCTCAGCGTCTGCAGCCACGAAGCTTCTGTGCCCAGCACGGTGGCCAGTGGCTGGCTCCGGGTGCCTCCAGGGTCCCGCTGGACAGCGCAGGGTTCACCAGCCCCGTGCTGGCCGCATCACACCCTCCCTCTCCCTCTCTCTCCCCCTCCCTCCTTCTGGCCGGGGAGGGGAGGATGCCCTGAGCCTGTACCACTGGCCCCAGCCGCACCCCTCCCCCCAAACCGGGGGGGGGGGGGAGACAAGAGCTTGAAATGTTGCAGCTGCGTTTGATTGTCAGCCCGAATCCTGCCTGCACCACGGCCCTGAGTGCTTTTCTGGAACGGAGGCCCCAGCCTGCTTCTAATTTTGTTGTTGTTGTTGTTAATCCTCCCCTGACGATAGCTCCCCATTGATTTTTTTAAAAAAATAGATGTTTATTGATTTCAGAGAGGAAGAGAGAGGGAGGAAGAGAGAAACATTCATGATGAGAGAGAATCACGGATCGGCTGCCCCCTGCATGCCCCCTACTGGGGATCCAGCCCACAACCCAGGCCTGTGCCCTTGACCGGGAATCGAACCCGGGACCCCTCAGTCCGCAGGCCGACGTGCTACCCACTGAGCCACACCAGCCAGGGCTCCCATTGATTTTTAGGGAGAGTGGAAGGCAGAGGGAGGGACAGAGAGAAACATCGATGGGAGGGAGAGACACATCGATGGGTTGCCTCCTGCAGGAACCCCGTCTGGGGCCCGGGGCCCGGGGCCCGGGAGGAGGCGGCGCTCTAACCACTGAGCAACACCGGCCAGGGCCTAGCCTGCCTCTAGCCCGCTCCAGGCGGGGCTGCTGACCTGGCCGCGGGCCCTCCGCCCTCCGGTCGGGCGGCGTTTCAGGGAACAGCCACCTGTCCTGTGGCCTCGCAGCCTGGACCACATCACAGCCGCCTCCTGGTGCTCATGGGGGGGAGGGGGGATGGGCGGGAAGAGGGGAGGAGGGAGGGGGGCACCCTGGCGTGAGCACCAGAGCACATGCCTCCTCCGGCCCGGGACCCAGACCACATGCAAGGTCGTGGCCTCTGGGCGCCCTGAGCGGCCGGCCCCTCCCGCCTGCCTGCCCGGGGCCGCCCGGGGCCGGGCCTGCGGGATCTGGGGGTGCTGACGCCCTGGCATCTGCAGACGGGGAGGCGCTGCTTCTCCGAAGCCCCCGAGTTCAAAGCGGGGCCCCTGGCTCGCGGCCAAGCCCAGAAATCCCCCCGGGGAGTCCGTGCCAGCTCCCGGGGCTGCCGCCCAGATGACCACACGGGGCGTTCAGGGGCCTGGGGGTCAGATGGCCAAACCAGCCACAGGGGCCGGCAGGGCTGGGCCCAGAGGGGGGTGGGCGAGGGGGCCTGGGGGGCGGGGTCTGTCCCTTTCGGCTTCTATGGCCCCTGTGCCCCTTGGCAGGTGGCGCCTCCTCCGCCTGCAACCCCCCATCGCTCCAGTCTGCTCTGCCGCCTCCTCACCTCCTCCCGTGAGCCTGACCCCCGTGTCCCACGATGAGGACCTCCGCGATCCCACCCGGACCGTGTCCCCACCCCCTCCCCCCAGCCCTAACACCGTCACACCTGCAGAGTCCCTTCTGCCTGGGCCGGCCCCACGCACAGGCCCCAAGGACTAGGATGGGGGACGCCTTGGGGGCCGGTGCTCGGCCTGCCCGCAGAGTTCGTGTCACCAAAAGCTGGGCCCGGCCGGCATGGCTCAGTGGTTGGGCATCGACCTAGGAACCGGGAGGTCAGGGTTCGATTCCCGGTCAAGGGCACAGGCCCGGGTTGCGGGCTCCATCCCCAGGGGGGGGCGTGCAGGAGGCAGCCGGTCCATGATGCTCTCTCATCATCACTGTCTCTCTCTCTCTCTCTCTCTCTCTCCCTTCCTCTCTGACATCAATAAAAGAATATTTTTAAAAAGGGCTGGAACCCGGGCTGGTACCGCCAGCCTCACCCCTGTCATGGCCTCCTGTCGGCTGTTTGCTTGTTCCCGGGGAGACCAGCCGGCCGGCCGGTGGGTGGGGACTGAGAGGGTCAGACCCCCGGGGGGGGCGGGCAGGGAGACAGACCTGTCAGCGTGATTCTGCCACCCCCTCCCCGCCCCCACCCCCCCACGGGAGCCCCTATCAGACCCGCACAGAGCCCTGTGGCCCGTCATCTGTCCGCCGCTGCTTTCCCAGGCCGCGCCCGGCCGCTGTCCCCGGTCCGTTTCCCGGCCTCCACCCTCCCTCCCTCCTCGCAGCGCTGATGCTGAGGGAGCAGGTACAGCAGACGGCCGTGTTTGTCCCCAACCCTCCAGGAGGGCTGTGAGCACGGGCACGGGGTGGGGGTGGCTGGGAAGCTGAGGGACTCAAACCCTGACCTTCCCCGCCCCCCGCCCCGAGCGGCCAGGCTGCTGCGGCCCTGGCTTCGCCCCCCGGCCCTCTCCCCGGGGCGGGCACGGTGCTGGCCACTCTGGGGTCCAGAGAAGAATAAGCATCAAGGGCCATCGTGGGGGAGGAGGGGGGGAGACAGACACAGGTGCCGAGCGAGGCTCAGACCCAGCGGGGCCAGCGAGTGTGCGGGACGGGCCAGGGCCTGCCCTCTGGACCCCCGAGGACCAGCCCGAGGGGCTCAGGGCAGGTCCCGGGGAAGCAGCGCTAAGCCCCAGGGCCCCCGGGTTCCTCCCGCAGCCCAGCCGGCTTCGGCTGCGAGGGGAGATGCGGGGTCGGGGTCGTCAGGGGGGAGGACAGCGTTGGTCGCGCAGCCTGGGGCCGGCCGGGCGGCTCCGGGTTGGAATCCTGCCCATCCTCCGCCCACCAGGGAGGCGTGCGTGGCCGACTCCGGCACCCCCACACCTTCGGGGTGACGGCCGCGCTCTGCCTGAACGGTGGCCGCCGCGTGGCCTCTCGCCACACGCAGCCACGGACACGGGAAACCCGGCTCTTGTGTCCGAGAAACGGACTTTCTAACTGCAGTTGGAATATTTATTTATTTAGTTATTCATATTTTTATAAAGTTATCATTCTCTTATTTATTTATTCATTTCAGAGAGGAAGGGAGAGGGAGAGAGAGATAGAGAAACATCCATGATGAGAGAGAATCATGGATCGGCTGCCTCCTGCACGCCCCCTACTGGGAATCGAGACCGCAATCCGGGCGTGTGCCCTTGGCCGGAATTGAACCCAGGACCCTTCAGTCTGCAGGCCGATGCTCTATCCACTGAGCCAAACTGGCCAGGGCTCTATTTATTTATTTAAAACTAGAGGCCCGGTGCACGAAATTCGTGCACAGGTAGGGTCCCTAGGCCTGGCTGGTGAGCAGGGCCCATCAGGGCCTTCTGGCTGCTGGCCGGGGCCTTCCTTCATTCCGCACCGCCCCCTGGTGGTCAGCGCACGTCATAGCGAGTGATCAAACTTCTGGTCAAATGTCCAGGAGGGGACATTTTGCGTATTAGCATTTTATATAGAGAGATATGTTTTTAGAGAAAGGGAAGAGAGAGCGAGAGAGAGAGAGAGAGAGAGAGAGGGACATGATTAGAGAGAATCATGGATCGGCTGCCTCCTGCACGCCCCCCACTGGGGATGGAGCCTGCAACCTGGGCCTGTGCCCTGACTGGGAATCGAACCGTGACCTCCTGGTTCATAGGTAGATGCTCAACCACTGAGCCACGCCAGACGGGCTGGAATGACACCTAAACAGCCACATGTGGCTGGTGGCTACCTCATTAGAAAGGACGAGTCTAGACCAGGGGTCGGCAAACGGCGGCTCGCGAGCCACATGCGGCTCTTTGGCCCCTTGAGTGTGGCTCTTCCACAAAATGCCACGTGGGGGCCCGCACGGACAGTGCGATTGAAACTTCGTGGCCCATGCGCGGAAGTCGGTATTTTGTGGAAGAGCCACACTCAAGGGGCCAAAGAGCCGCATGTGGCTCGTGAGCCGCTGTTTGCCGACCCCTGGTCTAGACCCTGGATTTCCCGGAGCCTCGGTCTCCGCATCTGTGGTAGCTGCCCGTGAAGAGGGCGCGGACGGAGCGTGTGCGTGTGGGCGTGTCACGGGAACCTGCACGCATGCCAGGTCTCCCCAACAGGAGTGCCACTGGGCGAGGGGGCAGGGCGGTCCCAGCAGGAGGGCGGGGTGCCCGCGGGCAGTACGCCGCCAGGCGCTCTAATGGCCGTGTCAGGAGGTGTTGGGAATTAGCCTGCGGCTGGCGAGACCAGGAAATGTTTTCTTTTTGGATGATTCACACGTTTTCATGGTTTCGTTACCCTCATCTGTTTCCCATCAGAGAAGCCTCCACATGCCTGTTTACTGGAAGGGGGCGGAGAGCAGCGGCCAGGGGGGCTGTGTGCACCCCTCTCTGTAGCAGCTGGGGGAGGGGAGCCCCGGGAGAGAATGGGGGGCAGTTGCCCCAAACAAGGGAGCAGGTGGAGTCCTCGCTCTTTCGGGGGAAGATGGAGAGCCAGAGAGGGGGGCTGGGGCTGAAGAGAAGGCATGTGAGTCCCCTGGACACACACACACACACACACTCACACACACTCACACTCACACACATGCACACACACTCACACACGCGCACACACTCACACACGCACACACATTCACACAATGCACACACATGCACGCGCGCACACACTCACATGCACGCACACGGACATGCACACTCACTCTCACACGCACGTGCACACACATGCACACATGTGTGCGTGCTCACACACATACATACACTCACATGCACACACACTCAATCACACACGCACATGCATGCAAGCACGGACACACATGCACACAGTCACACATGCACACATGCTCGCACACACATGCACACAAGCACACTCACACACACAGACTCCTGCCTGGAGAGTTCCGGACACCACCCACCAGGAGGCGCTGGTGAGCAGAGCCCAGTGGACCGTCCCCTCTGAGTCTATCCCCGTGGTCAGCAAACTGTGGCTCGCGAGCCACATGCGGCTCTTTGGCCCCTTGAGTGTGGCTCTTCCTAAGCCTTAGGCATACCCTAAGTAAGTTAATAACAATGTACCTACCTGTATAGTTTAAGTTTAAAAAACTTGGCTCTCAAAGGAAATTTCAGTCGTCGTGCTGTTGATATTGGGCTCTGTTGACGAATGAGTTAGCCGACCACTGGGCTAACCCTCCAGGGCGGGGTCAGCTGGGTGTGGGCTGCTGCAGACACAGTCACCGGCCTCGCTAAACCCAGGGCGGCTGGAGGGCCCCGAGGGAGCCAGCGCCCCCCTCCCCCTCTCCTCCCTGCACTCAGGCCTGGAGCAGCCAGCGCTCTCTCCGGCCTTGGGAAGCAGCCGGACCCTGGCCGGTGTGGCTCAGTGGATAGAGCGTCGGTCTGCAGACCGAAGGGTCCCGGGTTCGATTCCGGTCCAGGGCACATGCCCGGGTTGCGGGCTTGATCCCCAGTGTGGGGGCGGGGTGTGCAGGGAGGAGATTCTCTCTCATCATTGATTCTCTCTCATGGATGTTTCTCTCTCCCTCTCTCTTCCTCTCTGAAATCAACAAAAATACATTTTTTTAAAAAAATTGGGTCGAATTTTACTCTCTGTGGTTTTATTTCCAAAATAGTGTATTTTGAATTGAGCTGATAGGCTTTCTTAGGCCGTAGCTGTCTGCTGCCCCCAATCCTACTACTTCTCTGGTGGAGCTGGTGTTTCTTTTCCTTTTTAAAATATATTTCTTTATTGATGTCAGAGAGGAAGGGAGAGGGAAAGAGAGAGAGAAACATCAGTGATGAGAGAGAATCATGGACCGGCTGCCTCCTGCACGCCCCCCACTGGGGATGGAGCCCACAACCCGGGCCTGTGCCCTTGACCGGAATCAAACTTGGGACCCTTCAGTCCGCAGGCCGACGCTCTATCCACTGAGCCACACCGGCCAGGGCTGGAGCTGGTATTTCTACTGCTCCCGGCAATGCACCCCAGAGTCCCTGGGACGGGACCCTCTCTCCATGTGGGGCCGTCTCAGAGGGGCTGTGAGGGCAGGGCCTGTCCCCTCCCGCCGGCCCCGCCAGTGCCCGCCCTGAACGTGACCGCTGAGCTCTGTCCCGGGGACTAAGCGTGGAGCCTGCAGAGGGACGCCCCCAGGAAGCTGCCCGCCCCCCCCGCCCCCCAGGGCCCTGCAGCGGCGCTGTGCCCTGTCCTCTCTCGGCCGGCCCCGCCAGTGCCCGCCCTGAACGTAACCTCTGAGCTCTGTCCCGGGGACTAAGCGTGGAGCCTGCAGAGGGACGCCCCCAGGAAGCTGCCCGCCGGTCCCCGCCCCCCAGGGCCCTGCAGCCGCCTTGTGCCCTGTCCTCTCTCGGCCGGCCGGCCGGTCTCTGGATGAGCACAGTCGAGTTGCGCTCTGTCGCTTACAACCAGGCCCCCCGAATGGGCGCATCGCTCTGGCCACCGAGAACAACGAACCCGGCGATGAATGAGGTCCCTTCGCCGCTAACCATCTGGGATCCCGTGGCCTCGCCCACTTCAAACGACGGGCGCCAAAGTCAAGATGGAGGAGAAGAAAACCCCAGACCAGCGGTTCTCAACCTGGGGGTCGCGGCCCCTTTGGGGGTCGAACAACCCTTTCACAGGGCTCGCCTCAGACCATCAGAAAGCACATCTATAATTACAGATTGTTTTGTGGTTAATCACGATGCTTTCATGATGTTCAATCTGTAACCATGAAAATCCATCCTGCATATCAGGTATTTACATGACGATTCATCACAGCAGCAACATGACAGCGATGAAGCAGCCACGGAAATAATGTTATGGCTGAGGGTCCCCACAGCGTGAGGAACTGCCTTAAAGGGTCGTGGCTTCAGGAAGGCTGAGAACCACTTTTGGGCCAAAAGCTATAGAAAGGAGAGATTTTAACATCCCTGGCAGATCGCATGGTCACCTAAGAAATGTCCACTCCCCCGTGGGAGAAGCAGGGCTCCCACCCTGTGCGTGGCGGCCACATGATGTGCTCTGGCCAATGGGATGTGGGCAGAGGCTGCAAGTCCGGCGCCCAGGCCCCCAGCATCCTCCTGCGTCTCTATGCACCCTCTGGGGACCTCCAGCACCCCCCCCCACACACCCGCCAGAGGACTGTGTCCTGGGGAGACGAAGAGCCATGGGGGGCCTGCCTGAACCGACCTCTCAGCCTGCAGAAGCTGTGCCCCAGACAGCCTGCAGGTGCACGAGTAAGAAATCAGAAAAGGTCTGCCCCTGAGATTGCGACGGGTCCTTTTGTTACGCAGCGCACTGATGGCGCGCTGACGGATACAGGTCGTCCGTCCATGGCTCCAGCCGGCGGTTGGCCTCACCATCCCCAGCTCCCACCGGCCTGGGATGGGGCGGGGGCGAGTCCTACCTGCTACTCGGACCTGGTTGGGGGCACAGGCCCGGCAGGAGAGGACCCGGAACTCCTCGGCCTGGTACATGGAGTAGTCGGTGCTGGCCACCACCACGGTGTCCCCAGGCTTCCACGACCGCACGTCGGCCTCCAGCGTCAGGAGCGTGCTGTTGACGTGGGTGTCGATGGTGACGGTGAGCTTGGGCCTCACTGTAAGGACCCCGGTCGGGCGGGCGGGCGGGAGGGAGGAAGAGAAGGAGGGTGAGAAGGAGGGAGGGAGTGAGAGGCGGGCCCTGGCCCTGGGCACCCTTTGCACTGTCCGCCTCCTCCCTGCCCTTCCCTACACAAGGCAATGCCAGGGCTGCCTAGCCAGACCCCACACCGCCTGGCTCACATCTTGCCCGTCCTGGTGCAGGTTTTGGGGAGTCAACAAACACCCCCACCATTAAAGAGCCATTCATCAGCTCCGGGCGGAGGAATTTTCCGCCTTTCCGGAGGCGGCCCAGCGCCTCCGTACACCAACCGGCCATTCCCAGCCCCTGGTAATGAGCACCTCCGGGCCTGGGTTTAAAATAGCAGCAGCCGGCCCCGGCCGGTGTGGCTCAGTGGGTAGAGCGTCGGCCTGCGGACTGAAGGGCCCCGGGTTCGATTCCCGGTCAGGGCACATGCCCGGGTTGCAGGCTCAATCCCTAGTAGGGGGCGTGCAAGAGGCAGCCGATCCATGATCCTCTCTCATCATGGATGTTTCAGTCTCTCTACCTCTCCCTTCCTCTCTAAAATCAATAAAAATATTTTAAAAAAGAATACTGTGTTTAAAAAGTAATAATAATAATAACAGCACCCAGAGAGGCCAGGGGCCGCGTGTCCATGCAGGGGGGGGTGGTGAGGGGCTGCGGGGGGTGTCGGGGGCTGCAGGAGTTTGGGGGGGGCAGCAGGGGGTGTCGGGGGCTGCAGAAAGGTCACCCTGTCCACGGCCCCCTGATATTCTTGGACCAGGCCCTTCCCCTGATAGACCAGTGGGCAGGGCAGGGTCTGCCGCCTCCCACCCGCTCCCAGCACCCTCCCCTCCCTCCTGTGTTATTGGGGGGGGCCCTGTCCCCAAGAGGCTTGGAGGCCACGGACCCAGCCACCCAGACGTGCAAGGCCCCGCCGCCTCTGTCCCCGGGAGGGCTGCTTACCCGGCCTCCCGCACAGGAACCGCACGCGGTAGGGCGGGCAGGCGTGGCCCTGGGCGTAGCAGGCGAACCTGTAATCCTGGCCCCGCTTGTAGACGGCCTCGATGGTGAGGTTGGCTCCGTCCGCCGCCGTGGCCTGGGTGGGGAGGGCAGGGAAATTGCAGGGCACAGCCGTGACTCTCCTTTATTTTGTAAAGAAGAAAGGAGATGACTCACGCCCTAAACACACACTCGCAGGTCTCAAACCGCCCCCGAAGGGAGCCTGCGGCCAGGCCCGGGCTGTCATTCTAGCGGCCGCCCCGGTTCCCGAGACCCACGTCCTGCCCCGGGCCCACCGATCGGGCCCAGGCCGGGGTCGCCGGGCCCACGGGATCGGACCCAGGCCGGGGTCGCCGGGCCCACGGGATCGGACCCAGGCCGGGGTCGCCGGGCCCACGGGATCGGGCCCAGGCCGGGGTCGCCGGGCCCACGGGATCAGGACCCACGCCCTGCCCCAGGCCCACGGGATTGGGCCCAGGCCGGGGTCACCGGGCCCACGGGATCGGGCCCAGGCCGGGGTCGCCGGGCCCACGGGATCGGACCCAGGCCGGGGTCGCTGGGCCTCGCCGGGGACATGCTGAGCCAGTGACGGCGAACCTTCTGAGCTCGGCGTGTCGGCATTTTGAAAAACCCTAACTTAACTCTGGTGCCGTGTCACCTATAGAAATGTTTTGATCTTTGCCACCATAGTCAAACAAAGACTTCTGTTTCTGATATTTATTTCATATATTTAAATGCCATTGAACAAAGAAAAATCAACCCAAAAAATGAGTTCGCAAGTTCGCCATCGCTGTGCTAAGCCTTAGCACCTCCGGAGACTCCGCACGGGCAGGTGCTGTCTCGGCACCAGCTGGCTGGTTGCGGCTGGACCACTCCCACCCCCACCCAGCCCCGCACCCAGCCCCGCACCATGGACCGTGGACCGTGGCTGCAGGAGGATATAAACCACGTTCAATGCGCTGATGATCACACACCACGTGGGGACTCTCTTTGAAACGGTGCCCCGGCCCCGGCTGGTGTGGCTCAGTGGGCTGAAGGGTCCCAGGTTCGAATCCCGGTCAGGGCACATGCCCTGGTTGCAGGCTCCATCCCCAGCAGGGGGCGTGCAGGAGGCAGCCGATCCATGATTCGCTCTCATCATGGATGTTTCTCTCTTTCTCTCCCTCTCCCTTCCTCTCTGAACTGAATAAAAATCTTTGGGCCCCAGCCGGTGTGGTTCAGTGGATAGAGCCTCGGCCTGCAGACTTAAGGGTCCTGGGTTCGATTCCCGGTCAGGGCACAGGCCCGGGTTGTGAGCTCGATCCCCAGTGGGGGGTGTGCAGGAGGCAGCCGATCCACGATTCGCTCTCATCATGGATGTTTCTCTCTCTCTCTCCCTCTCCCTTCCTCTCTCTGACATCAATCAAAATATATTTTAAAAAATAATAACATCCAACGACGCCCAGGCCCCTCCCTCCCTCCTCGAGTCTGGGATCTGACTGGGTCTGGGTGCGGCCAGGGCACCAGACCTTGGGAACGTGCCGGGGGATTCCAGCGGGCGGGCGGCGAAGCGTGAGAGCCCCGCCTGGCAGCCCGGAGCCGAGCGCTCACGTCTGTAATCTTCCACCTTCAGGGCGGAACGGCCTGTCTGGTCTCTGCTGGCCTCACAGACCAGGAAACAGACTCACAGAGCAGAGGGCTCGCCCAGGGCCACACAGCCGGCAAGGGGCAGAACAACATTGGCTTTTGGTTGTTGTTTTAAAAATATTTTTATTGATGTCGGAGAGGAAGGGAGAGGGAGAGAGAGAGAGAAACATCCATGATGAGAGAGGATCCTGGATCGGCTGCCTCCTGTACGCCCCCCACTGGGGATGGAGCCCGCCACCCGGGCATGTGCCCTTGACTGGGAATCGAACCCAGGACCCTTCAGTCTGCAGGCCGACGCTCTATCCACTGAGCCACACCGGCTAGGGCTTTGCATTTTTTTTAGAGAGAGAGAGTGGAAGGGAGAGGGAGAGACAGAGAGAAACATCGATGTGAGAGACACACATCGATGGGTTCCCTCCTGCATGCGCCCTGACCAGGGAGAGCCGGGGAACCTGAAATTGAGGTACCTGCCCTTGAGCAAAATCGTGCCCTTGACTGGAATCGAACCCGGGACCCTTCCGGCCGCGACCCGGCGCTCTACCCACTGAGCAACACCGGCCAGGGCCTGAGCACCATCGGGATCCAGCAAAGCCTGCCCCTGCCCTCACACTGTGGCCCTGGGGCCTAGGCCTGGTGCCCTCATCCATGCTGCCTCCTCCCCCTGCCCGGGGGCCCGGGGGGCAAGAACCAGGCTTCTCCCGTCTCCCTGACCCCAGCACCCAGCCCGGGGCTTGGCACGGAACGAGGTCTCCGTGGCCGGGGGCTGGTGGGGAGAGGACTGGGCCGCAAGCGGGCTCCGGGGAGGGCTGTCCGGCCAGCTGGGGCTCGTCCCGGCAGCGGGGTGTGGGGAGACTGGCTGTCATCGGGGCGGGCGGGCACAGCCGGCCTCCAGCTGCTGTCCTGCTTGGCACCGGGACCGAGGCCCCCGGGGCTGAAGCCACAGGAGGCGAAGGACAGTTGGCCTTCGACGGGGCTGCTTTTTAGGAAATCATGTCTTGAGCCCAGCAGATGGCCGCTGGCTCTGGCCGCAAAGGAGAGCCAGGGGGATGCCAGCTCAGCCTTTTCCTGCACGCGGATCGTAGGGGGCTATAGACGGTCCAGGTCGCCTGACCGCCACGCCCGGCACCGCTGGCCCCCTGAGGCCGGCACGCTCTTCTGCAGCCGCCCCGTGATATCGCCAGCTCCACTGCCCACTGAAGGTAGACAGGGCTGCCCGGCTGGCGCGGCTCAGGGGTTCGATTCCCCGTCAGGGCACAGGCCCGGGTGACAGGCTCTATCCTGGGAGCCACGGGGGCCCCGGGCACCCCCCCGCACGTGGCCAGCGCCCCGGAGGCCCGCCCTCTCCACAGTCACCATGACCGCGCAGCGTGGTACCTGGATGTCCAGCGGGCGGATGCAGATCTTGCCCGGGTGGGCCGCCCGGAGGTCGGAGATCTTCGCCCCGCCTTTGGCGGGGGCCGCTCCGTCGTGGTCAAACCATTCCGTCCACTCGGCGTCTGGGCAGGAAGCAGAGCGGGTCAGACAGGGAGGCCGCGGGGCCAGGCCCAAGCCCCCGAGGCAGCCAGCTGGTCGTTAAAAACGCCTCTTACTGCCCTGACCAGTGTGCCAGTGGTTAGAGCATCGGCCTGCGGACTGGAGGGTCCCGGGTTCGATTCCGGTCAAGGGCATGGACCTTGGTTGCGGGCACATCCCCAGTAGAAGGCGTGCAGGAGGCAGCTGATCGATGTTTCTCTCTCGTCGATGTTTCTAACTCTCTATCCCTCTCCCTTCCTCTATGTAAAAAATCAATAAAATATATTTTTTAAAAAATGCCTCTTACTTCATAAAAGCAATAGATAGTCCTCGTGGTTGCAAAAAGGAGGCAGAGGAAATCCGTGCGTGAACCCACAACCCAAGGATCGGGCCCGGCTGCACCCCACCCCCAGGTGTGGGCTCCCCCAGGGCCAGAACCCAGCAGGCCGGCCTGGCCCGGAAATGGGATCCGATTCCGGGAGAAAAAAGCCATCTCTCTGGGCTATTGGCCACGGGGCCTGATGAATTACAGGCAGATTTCGGCCCGGCCCATGTGGCTCAGTGGTTGAGCGTCAACCTGTGAACCAGGAGGTCAGAGTTCGATTCCCGGTCAAGGGCACAGGCCGGGGCTGCGGGCTCGATCCCCAGTGCGGGGCGTGCAGGAGGCAGCGGATCCGTGATTCTCTCTCCTCATGGATGTTTCTCTCCCTCTCTGACTTCAATAAAAAAAAAAATACATTTTTTTAAAAAGGACAGATTTCGGTTGCCACTTCAGGTGCCCCTGACACAGGGACGCGGTCTCATTGGCGCAAGAGACAAATCCCGATTGTGCCAACTCGGTCCGTCCGGCCTTTGGTCCGAACGTCAGGCTTGCCCGGCGTCCCGCGCCTCACCTTGAACCCACTCGCTGGAGGCAGACACGTTGAAGTACTCGCCATGCTCCGACCGGAACAGTTTGAACACCCGGGCGGCGGCGGAGCCCCCGTGACCTGGCAGAGAGAGAGAGACGTTCAGCCACAGGCAGACCCCAAGTCCGGGGAGACGGGGGTTGGAGGGGGGGGAGTCTAAGGCAGAGGGAGCCCCCACAGGGATCTGAGCCGCTTCTTGAAAAACAGAGCTCTGTGCCCAGCCGGTGTGGCTCAGTGGCTAGAGCACCAGCCTGTGGACTGAAGGGTTCCAGGTTCAATTCCCGGTCAAGGGCACAGACCCGGGTTGTGGGCTCCATCCCCAATATGGGGTGTGCAGGAGGCAGCCGATCCGTGATTCTCTCTCATCATGGATGTTTCTACCTCTCTCTCTCCCCTTCCTTTCCTCTCTGAAATCAATACAAATATATATATACATTTAAACAAAAATAAATTTTACAAAAAGCTCCAGGCCATTCGTGGCTCCTGGAAGCACACGAATGCCTCTTTGCCTTCGGTTTTGAGAGTGACTGGCGGTGGCCCCCCAATCCGTATTCTGAGCCCCATCATTCCTCATGGGATCCCTCTCTACGCTCGGACCCCGCTGAGCCGACCGCCCGCCTGCCCCTCCTCTGAGCAGAGGCCGCTGTCGCTACGAAGGCCCACCCAAGTGTCTTTTTAGCTCAAAACATTGCCCCTCAGGCCCCGCCCCCCTCCCACCTCCCCGGTCACTCGCTCTGGACGAAGCTGTTCAGGAGGATCATAAGCGAAGTCGCTCCCACATGGAGCTGGGGCTGACCCGCCCCGCAGGGCCCCCTCAAATCCCTGGGGGCGCAGAACAGGCACACGGCCTCCGGACGGGGCCCCCGGCCCCCCCGGGACCCCAAGGACTGTTGGCAAAGATAATGACAGAGCGGATCTGTTGGCTGCTGGACCGAGGGCTACGAGACTCGACATTAAAAGCGCTGTTTGGGGTGGGCATGGCTGGGTTATGCCTTCTGCGCCCATGGCCACACCGCCCTGCCGTGGGCAGAGTGTCCCCCTGCCCTGTCTCATCCATCCCCCTCGCCCGCGCCTCCCGATGGGACCTGGCTGGGCTTCTGCCTGAATGAATGAATGAATGAATGATTCCCAAGCAGCGGCTCTCACTGATCTCACTTCAAAAGCCCTTTGAATTTAGGGTTAAAGGCGTCAATGACGTGTTCTCAAAAAATAACTAAATACATATATATATATATATATATATATATATATATATATATATATATATATAATAATCAGCCCCGGCCAGTGTGCTCAGTGGATAGAGCCCCGGCCTGCGGACTGAAGGGTCCCAGGTTCGATTCCGGTAAAGGGCACGTAGTGGGTTGCGGGCACATCCCCAGCCCTGGTCCGGGCATGTGCAGGCGGCCGCCCATCGAGGTGTCTCTCTCACATCGATGTCTCTCCCCCTCCCTCCCGCTCTCTCTAAAAATCAATGGAAAAATATGCGCGGGTGAGGATTCACACTCACAGGTATTGTCTCACTGATGGACCCTCAGCGGTTCTCAACCTTCCTAGCGCCACGACCCTTTCATACGGCTCCTCATGTTGCGGCGACCCCCAATTTCATTGTGACAAATGGAACATAATGAAGGCACAGTGATTCATCACAGAAACAATATGTCATTATAGATGTGTTTTCCCATGGTCTGAGGCGACCCCTGTGAAAGGGGCGTTCGACCCCCAAAGGGGTCGCGACCCACAGGTTGAGAACCGCTGCGGGGTTCGCGTTTGCCACTTTGATGGAACGTGGCCAATCAGGTGCCGGGAGGCGGGTCAGCCAGCGCGCCCTGGGGAAGCCCCGAAGCCCTGAGCGGCGTCGCCATGGAGCGTCGTTGCCATGGAGCGGCGTCGCCATGGAGACGCGTGGGTGCGGCGGGGACCGCGCCTCCCGCCCCCGCTGCTCACCGTGGTACTCCACGTGGTCTTCCACGGAGGACGCCGGGTTTCCCTTCACCGTCACGAAGCTCCAGGGGTGTCTGCAGGCAACACGCACGGAAGTCAAGCCCCGCACACGCCGCAACCTGTGCGGAGGCGGGCAGGACGCGGAGCCCGGGGGCACGGCGCCTGGCGTCCCGGGAACCGGCTCCAGCTCCGGGCTCCGGGCTCCGGCTCCGGGCTGGGCTTCCCTCCCCGACACGGGAGCCTCTCTTGCAAGCGCTGGGCTCGCCACCCGCCTGGCCGGCCTGCGCCTGGCCCTGCACGGGCTCATCCTCCCTGGGGGAGCGAGCATGGCCTGTCCCAGCCCACTCCCTAGAGTGGCCTCGCTCCCGCTTTGAGTCCCAGTAGTGCTGAGAGGTCGGCTTTGACCTCTGACCTTGGAAAGCCAGTCTCTTGCTGAGGTTGGGGGTGCACTGTGTGCTCTCCGGCTTAAATCCTTGCAGGGCTCCCCGTTGCCCGTTGGGTAAAAACCAAGCTCCCTGGCATGGAGCAAGGCCCTCCTGTGCCCACCCCCAGCCTCCCCCTCCCTGCCCCTCCCTGCCCCTCCCTCGGTCCCACACCTGCTGCTGCCTGCACCTCCCTCATCCTCAGGAGACCCACACCTGCACCCAGGGTGGGGGGTGGGGGGACCTCTGGCCTGTTGGTCTCCCAGGGATACTGCCTCCCTCCCTGCAGGCTCTGCCTCCTGCTCATGGGTGCTCTCCTTCTCTCCTCTCTCTCTCTCTCCTCTCTCTCTCTCTCTCTCTCCTCTCTCTCTTCAGAGGAAGAGGAAGGCCAGTGAGCCCAGGCTGCGCCTCTGAGGTCTGGCTGTCACTCAGCAGATGAACAGTTGATATTCTGCAAGTCGCCCTGGCCAGTGTGGCTCAGTGGGTAGAGCCTCGCCCTGCAGACCAAAGGGTCCCGGGTTTGATACCCGGTCAGGGCACATGCCTAGATTGTGGGCTCAGTCCCCAGTGTGGGGTGTGCAGGAGGCAGCCGATCCATGATTCTTTCTCATCACTGATGTTTCTATCTCTCTCTCTCCCTCTCCCTTCCTTTCTGAAATCAATAAAAATGTCTTTAAAAATATCCTATATAATAAAGAGGTAATATGCAAATTAACCCTCACACCCTCACAAGATGGCTGCCTACAACCAGGCCGGCAGGGGGACTGTGAGGGGCGACCAGGCCAGCAGGGGGGCAGTTGGGGGGGCAGTTGGGGGCGATCAGGCCAGCAGGGGGGGCAATTGGGGGTGACCAGGCCAGCAGGCAGGTGAGCAATTAGGAGCCAGCAGTCCTGGATTGTGAGAGGGATGTCCGACTGCTGGTTTAGGCCTGGTCCCTGTGGGTCTAAACCAGCAGTCGGACATCCCCCAAGGGGTCCCGGGTTGGACAGGGTGCAGGCTGGGCTGAAGGACACCCCCCACCCATGCATGAATCTCATGCACTGGGCCTCTAGTCTATATATATTCTGCACATGGCTGACCGACTGAATGAGTTCATGCAAACACAGGCCTCTGGCATTTTCAGAGTGAAACACGCTCCTAAGAAATCGCAGGTTCCCAGATGCCCTGTGCAGAGGGGGGACGAGCCTGTGAGTCCTGGGTGCCCCAGGGGGTGGTGTGGCCCCGGGGGGCGGGGACTTGGGTGGGGAGGGGATGCTCCAGGGCCGGGAGCCGGGGGAGGCGCGGGGGAGGGGAGGGCGCAGGCACCTGAAGCCGAGATGCAGGAAGTGCTTGCTGCCCAGCTTGGTCATCGCCTTCCGGGCCGAGTCGTCCAGGTTCCGGGACCCCTCGTCGTTCACGGCCACGGACAGGATGCTGCCGCCGGGCACGGCGTTCAGGTACTGCACCAGGCGCTCGCTCTCCTTCTTGAACCTGTAGGTGTCGAACCTGCGGACGCGCGGGGAGGGCGTCACAGGGCGGCACCACCCACGAGCCAGCCCAAGACCCCCGAGGGCTCTGACTTTTAAAGAGAGAAGTTTTCATTCCAGAAAAGAGAGAGAGTCCCTCAAACTCGACACCGATAACCTACCCTCATGCAGATAAACTGCCCAGGAAGTACTGATCTCAACGAGCCTGTATCTGCCCTGGCCAGTGAGCTCAGTGGATAGAGCCCCAGCCTGCAGACCGAAGGGTCTCAGGTTCCGGTCAAGGGCACAGGCCCGGGTTGCAGACTCGATCCCCAGTAGGGGGCACACAGGAGGCAGCCGACCCATCATTCTCTCTCATCATCCATGTTTCTCTCTCTCTCCCTCTCCCTTCCTCTCTGAAATCAATAAAAATATATTTTTAAAAAAGACACAATTCCGTAATGACACCAACTCTCCCCCACGTAGCTATAACGATTCGGTACCATTACGGTGGAAACTCCCAAAAGAATTTTAAGTCTTGGGACTGACCGGGCAAAAGAATTCTAAAATGAATCTAGAAAAAATAAAGCCGCGTGAATAGCCAAGGTTTCGGAAAAGAGCAGCAGGGTTCGGGGCCGGGCGGGCTGGGCAGGTGCCTGAGTCACTGTTTGCATAACCTGGCTCTGCCGCCAGGGCCCCGCCCCGGGAACCAGCAGCCGCAAGCCTCGCGCAACTGGGCGCATCTGGGCGCATCTGGGCGCATCTGGGCGATTCTTGGCCGCACACATGCCAGCTCCTGCCTCCACTCACTGGCCTCGCCCCCTCGCTGCCGGCCACAGGCTCACCGCCTCTCCCGGCCCCGCCTCTCCCGGCTCAGGCCTGTGTGACTGCCCCTCCGCTACCTCCCCAGGTGCCGGCAGCCGGGGCCTATGAGTGTGTGCTGAGTGCGTATTAGTATCTTTGCTCAGACTTCGTCAGCGGTCAGATTCTGTGTGGCTGTTCATTCTCACCCAAGGATATTTTCCCATTGATTTTTATTTTATTTATTATTATTATTTTTAATATATCTTTATTGATTCCAGAGAGGAAGGGAGAGGAAGAGAGAAACATCCATGATGAGAGAGAATCATGGATCCGCTGCCTCCTGCACGCCCCCTAATGGGGACCAAACCCACAACCCGGGCGTGTGCCCTTGACCGGAATTGAACCTGGGACCCTTCAGTCCGCAGGCCGACGCTCTATCCACTGAGCCACACCAGCCAGGGCTCCATTGATTTTTAGAGAGAGAGGGACAGACAGAGAGAAACATCCATGTGAGAGAAACACATCGATGGGTTGCCTCCTGCACGTGCCCCGACCAGAGCCTGGGCCGGGAAGGAGCCTGCCACCGAGGTCCATGCCCTTGACCGGACTCGAACCCGGGACCCTTCAGTCTGAAGGCCAACACTCTATCCACTGAGCCACCCGGGCAGGGCATTTTTTTCTTTTTTAGAGAGTGGAAGGGAGGGAGGGGGTACAGGAGAGAGAGAGAGAGAAAAAGGGAGAGAGAGAGAGAAGAGAGAGAGAGAGAGAAGCATTGATGTGAGCCACATCGATCTGTAGCCTCCCGGACACACCCAGACTGGGGCCAGGGATCGATCCTGCAACCCAGGCACGTGCCCTTGACTGGGAATCAAACCCCAGGCCCATCTGTGTGTGGGCTGGTGCTCTAACCACTTAGCCACACCAGCCAGGGCCTGGCAGCCCGCGCGCAGTGGAGGGCGAACCTTACCGGTCCGAGTGGATGACCGCCCCCGACCTGGGGTCGATGACGTGGACGATGACGCCCCGGTGGCCCCAGCTCCTTTCGAAATAGTAGCCGCCATCCTGCAGGCCGCCCGGGTGCAGCGTGCGGGTCAGGAAGGTCCAGGAGAGCTTGCGCTGCCCGTGCAGCTCCAGCGTGCCGCCCGGGCCCACCCCGATGTACTTGAGGCCGAAGTAGGGGTCCGGCTGCACCCCCTCGTCGGCCCTGGGGGAGAAGGCAGGCCCCGGGTCAGCGCCGCTTCTCTCCTGGGCGCTGACCCCAGCCGGGGTTTCTTTCTCTTTTTTTTCCTTTTTGTTTTTCCTTCTCAATATATTTTTATTGATTTTTTACAGAGAGGAAGGGAGACGGGGAGAGAGAGAAACATCCATGAGGAGAGAGAATCACGGATCGGCCGCCTCCTGCACGCCCCACACTGGGGATGGAGCCCGCAACCCAGGCACATGCCCTTGACCGGAAATCGAACCCGGGACCCTTCAGTCTGCGGGCCGACGCTCTACCCACTGAGCAACACCGGCCAGGGCGCCGGCGGGGATTTCACGGCTCCCCGACCCCCACTGAGGTCGCCCCATGAGCCAGCCCCTCGGGGTGAGGTCACGGATCAGGAGAAACAGCCGGACGACCACTCCTTCCGAAGCTGGACCACACCCCGCCACAGGCCACGTGGAAGGTCGCACCCAGTCTTGGCTTCTGGCTGGTACGTCCTTTCAGGGCCCCGCGTTTGGTATTTCGGTCCAGAGCGAGGGCGCGGCATCACCTGGCCGCGCACCGCCCATCCCCGTGTGTTCTTGGCTGCGGCTCCCTCGCCATCTCCAGCGCCGGGGGAGGGCGCGCAGCCAGAGGCAACGAGGCACGGAACTGTCTTTATCTTGTCCATCGCGGCCAATTAAAAACACACACAGAGCCTCTCCGAGCGAGTGGGGCAGGACTGGGGGTGGCGGGAGGCTGGCACTGACCTCGGTGACTTCAGGACAGACACGGGCACAGCAGTGAAGTGCCCGGGCCCCGGCCCCGCTCCCCCGCCACCATGTCTGTCTCATTCGTGCTTATGATGGGGCAGAGCACGATGGTAACCCCATCTCGCACTAAAGCCAGGCCGCCTCGTCCCCTCTCTCCCTTAAAAAGCCTCCGTCCATGCCCGGCCGGCGTGGCTCGGTATTTGAGCATCAACCTAGGAACCAGGAGGTCAGGGTTTGATTCCCGGTCGGGGCACAGGCCCGGGCTGCGGGCTCCATCCCCGTGGGGGGCGTGCAGGAGGCGGCCTATCCATGATTCTCTCTCATCATGAATGTTTCTCTCTCTCTCTCTCCTTTCCTCTCTGAATTCCACAAAAACACATTTAAAAATCCTATATAATAAAAGGCTAATATGCAAATCAACTGACCAGCAGAGCGACGGGTCGCTATGATGCGCACTGACCACCAGGGGACAGACGCCCAATGCAGGAGCTGCCCCCTGGTGGTCAGTGCGCTCCCACAGGGGGAGTGCCGCTCAGCCACAAGCCGGGCTCACTGCGGGGAGCGGGCCTAAGCCGTCAGTCGGACATCCCCCGAGGGCTCCCGGACTCCAGCGCACGGATTTTATGCACCGGGCCTCTCGTAAACAAATAAATGAAAGACTAAGAAGCCTCCCTCGTCAGATCGGAGAGCAGCCCTGCCCGGGGGCGCCGCCTACCCACCTGCCGTACAGCAGGATGCTGAAGTTGCCCTGGAAGGGGCAGAGGGCGCTCCCAGCATGCAGCTCTCCTCCATGGTCGATGAGGATGTGGCGGGTGCGCAGGACAATGGTCTCCTCGTGGTCTTTAATGACCAGCCTTCCTGAGGGGCGGGAAGGCGGCGAGGTGAGGCCCGGGGGGGGGAGGGGAGGGTGGGCAGGGGTGAGGCTGTACCAGAACCAAGGGCGGGGGAGGGGGCGGGGGAGGGGGGAGGCGCGTCGCTGGCACACCTCCTGCTTGCTGTGCTCACAGGGCTTCCTCCCCTCTCCTCCCTGCCCACTAAGTACCGCGGGGTTTCCCGCCAACCCTGCGTGCATGGTGTGCACCGCCCAGGCCCCTGGCGGGAGGTGAGCTGTGCCCCAGCACCGGGCAGCTCTGTCCCACCAGGGCTCCTCTCTGTGCCTGGACCCAGGTGCCCGGAGCCGGCGGGTGGGCATCTCGCAGGACCGGATGCTCTGCCATGAGCCCCAAGCCCATGCCCCGCTCTGCCCACCTGCACAGGGTCGCCGGCGCCCCACCTGCTCCGAGGCACTGGGCCGTGAGGGACAGAGCGATTGGGGGGCTGGCAAGGCCGGCTTACCCCCATCTGAGATGTGGATGGAGTGGACGGTGGCCGACGAGGTGAGCAGCAGTGCCCGACCCTGGCCGATGTGCACATGGTTGTCCCGGTTGTGGCCAGGGTCCCAGGGCTGCAGCTCGGGGCTCTTGTCTGGGCACTCGGGGGTCTCTGTGAAGGAGAGAGATGTCAGGGCTCCCACGCACCAGCCTGGCCACGCGGGTTGGCGACCGACCACGGGGGGGAGGGGACGAGAGGGAGAAGGCGGGCAGGGGGGCTCCCATCACCAACCTGGCCATGCGAGATGGCCACCGACCACGGGGGGGGACGGTGGGGGGAGAAGGCGGGCAGGGGGGCTCCCATCACCAACCTGGCCACGCGAGATGGCCACCGACCACGGGGGGGGGGTGGGGGGGGGAGAAGGCGGGCAGGGGGGCTCCCATCACCAACCTGGCCACGCGAGATGGCCACTGACCACGGGGGGCGGGGACGATGGGGGGAGAAGGCGGGCAGGGGGGCTCCCATCACCAACCTGGCCACGTGAGATGGCCACCGACCACGGGGGGGGGGCGGGGGGGGGAGAAGGCGGGCAGGGGGGCTCCCATCACCAACCTGGCCACGCGAGATGGCCACCGACCACGGGGGGGCGGGGGGGGAGAAGGCGGGCAGGGGGCTCTCGCGCATCCTTGCGGCGCCTGCCTCCTCTCTCCGGAACTAAAAGCGAGGCCCTCGCGAGCGAGGAGCCCCCGACCGGAGCCAGGAGCCCGGGCCCAGCCCCACGCCTCCCACTCGTCCATCCGGTGCCTTGGACGGGCCACTGCCCACCTCCCGGGAGCCCACCCCGGGCCCCTCCTCCTCCTGCCCTCGCCTGCCTGGCCGCAGCCCCGGCTCAGGCTCCCACTGTCCGTCACCCAGAGGCTCAGCCTCACACTGGCTGTTACGGAAACGGCTCTTCTGCTGCTGCCAACCCCGGGAACCCCGGGGGGGCGTGACCCGGCCCCTCGGCGGGCGCTCCGTCCAGCGCAGGGCGGGGCGGCCGGATGACGGGGTCCCTGCTCCCTCGCCCTGCGGCCCACGTGGTCCCCGGGGCCTGGAGCCTCCATCCCCCCCCCCCCAAGGCCTCCCAGGGGTGTCCCGGCCCCTGGGTCTGTCCTGGGACGGGTCCGGCGCTGGCTGGCTTTTCAGCAGCGGCCGGTCAGAGGCCCCGGGCCGGCCTCCCCCTGGTCCCGGGCCTGGGGTGCCCGTGTCCAAGGAGGTGAGTCCCCATCACAGGGCCGACTGGGGAGCCCATGGCCCAGGCTCGCAGCCACGAGCGGGCTAAGGAGGAATTCCCCCAAATCTAGGGAGCAGCACCCACCTCCCAGGACAGCACTGAGGGCACCCTCCCTCTCCACGTGCACACGGCTCTGCCCTGGGCTGCGGGCAGTCAGCCTGACCCCCGGGCTCTCCCGTCCCCAGGAGCAGGGGCCCAGAAGCACTGACCCACGTGCGAGCCCCGCGGCCACAGCCCTGGCCGGGCACCATCCCTGGGCCCGGATGCCTGGCTCTTGGCACAGCCCGGCTGCCACGGGAGCCACTGGAGTGGCTGGAGGTGGTCGGGGCCTTTGGCTGAACAGTCACCATGGCGACCGCCCTCCCCAGGAGGGGCCGTGGGAAGCAGGGGCGGGGGGGGCGGGGGGCGAAGGAGAGCCCGACCCGCTCGGACCACAAGTCTCTCTGACGTCAGAGCAAAGCACCGGCCAGAGGGGCCCAGACTTTCCAAACGGTTTGAGCTCAAACAGAAGACAGAGCCCGGCCGGTGTGCTCAGTGGTTAGCGTCGACCTAGGAACCAGGAGGTCAGGGTTCGATTCCCGGTCGGGGCACAGGCCCGGGTGGCGGGCTCGATCCCCGGTGGGGGGCGTGCAGGAGGCACCGATCTGTGATTCTCTCTCATCATGGATGTTTCTACCTCTCTCTTCCTCTCCCTCTCTGACATCAATAAAAACATATTTTTTTTTTTTTAAAAAAAGAGCCATCCCATCGGCAGGGATGGCATTAGCGCCAAACCTCTTTCCAGAATGTGCAAGTCCCTCCCGCCTCTCCCCTTCTCCCCTATTTTGGTTCATTTCACGAACCTTCTGCTTCTGGCTGCTCATTCAAAAGCAGCAAAGAAAAGGCTAATCCTGAGATTTTTTTTTTTTTAAGCTGTACACCCCGCCTCTCGCGTGCAGCAGGCGCCAGATCCCAGGACGGGAGCCCTGACACGAGGTGGCCCACGGCTCACGGCTCACGGCCGCCCCGTTTGTAAAATCAGAGCCGGCTGCCAGCAGGGAACGCGCACGGAGCTTTTACGCAAAAACCTGCCTCTCTGGCTCCTCTTAAGGTTGCCCAGGATCCTACAACGGGGACCCTGCCCCCCCCCCCCCCTGGGCAGCGACCGGCCACAGCGGAGAAGTGGGGGTCGCCCAGAGGACTTGTACGCATGCAGACAAGCAGAAGCGATGGACGCAGACAACAGGGGGTGAGCGTGAGGGCAGGACGGGGGGGGGGGGGGGGGTGGTGGTGCAGGGACAATGGGGAAGTAGGGACACATTTGTAATACCTTAATCAATAAAGGAAAAAAAGTGGGTGTCCCTTACGAGGGAGGGGGCATCGGGGGGGACCCTGAACTTCCCGGGCCACCACAGCCCCCACCCGGCCAGCCGCACGGCTCTATGTCACTCGCCCGGCTCCCCCAGCCACAGAGGGTGCAACCCCTGAGTGTAGCCGGCCACTGTGCGGGGGGAGACGGAGGCCCAGGGTGCGACTTGGCAGGGATGGGGTTGGCGAGCAGGGACCCCCCGGCGCCCACACCGCGCCCCCGCCCACCCCAGCAGCTCCCTTCACCTGCTGGGCCCCGGCTCACCTGCGGCCCCGGCCCCGGGCTGGAGGAGCCAGCTGGCTGTCAGCAGCCGCAGCAGCAGCAGCAGCGGCGGCTGGAAGGAGCGGTCCCACCTCCCGGCGAACCCCATCCTGGCTGAGCTTCTCCCTGAAACACAAGCACGTCGAGTCAGGTCAGACCGGCCTCCTCTGCGGGGGCGGGGGGGGGGGGAGACACACGCGCCCAGCCGGGGCCACGTGCACACACGTGGGCAGTGCCAGGGCAGGCACGCTCCCGCCGCCGTGACTCAGCGCCACGGGCAGATCGGGGCACGCCGGCCCCGCCGCCCCGAGACCCTGCGGTGGATGGAATGTCAGCTCTGATGCTCGCCCTCCCCCTCCCCTCCCTGACGAGGCATTTTTAATTTTTTTTTCCCCCTTAAAACACAGAGGAAAACAAACATACTCCCACGCAACAGGCGCTGGGCGGCGCTGGATGCTGTGTGACCTCGGCGGACTTGCTGAACCTCTCTGGGCCGCAGCGTCCTGATCTGAAAAGGGAGGATGGGCACCGACCGTCAGGTTTCTAACCTGGACTCCGCCTTCACCCGGCTGTGCGCCTAAAACAAGTCTCGGCCGGTGTGGCTCAGTGGGTGGAGCATCAGCCTGCGGATCGAAGGGTCCCGGGTTCGATTCCGGTCAAGGGCACGGACCTCGGTGGCAGGCTCCTCCCTGGCCCCAGGTCAGGGTCTGGGCGCGTGCAGGAGGCAACCCATGGATGTGTCTCTCCCATCGATGTTGCTCTCTGTCTTTCCCTCTCTCTCTTCCTCTCTCTCTAAAAATCAATGGGGAAAACATCCCCGGGTGAGGATGAACCAACACACAGACAAATAAATACATAAATAAATAAAACAAGTCTTGATCGTAATGCTGAAATCCTAAATGCGACGCCTGTGCCATAAACCCGCCTACGACCCATCCAGGAGGCGGTGGGGTGGGGGGCAGAGAGACCTGAGCCCCCAGTAGCCATTTCCCCCCCTTTTTAGTGAAAAAAACCCCCCTGAGCTGTTATCTGGGCGCACGGCCACCCAGGAGAAAGGCCGCGACCCCTGGCATCTGTGACATCAGCGGCGGCCTTGGCGTTCAGTTCTGGCCAACACAGCCCCCTGCGTCCGGCCTGTGAAGTTCAGGAAATGTCCGAGAAAGAAGGTGGGAAGCCGGGAAGCCCTCCTCGCCTCCTTCCCGCGGACGGACGGACGGGGACGCCGACGCGATGGCCGGGTCCCCAGCAGCCGCCTTGGGCCACTTAGCCAGGGGCCAGGCGCCGAAGACGGCAAAGCAAAGAGCGAGACCCCGGTCCCACCTGGTGAGAACGGACAGCCCGGCTGGGGTTCCCGTTTCTGGGAGCCACGGACGCGCCTTGCGCTCTAGGAAAGCCGCCTACGGTGTCCCTTCCATTCCCCCCGGAGGGTGATCCGCCCCGATAACCTCAGGACAGGAGCTTGTAAAGCCAGGCGCCGGCTCGCCCTTCCAGACACAATGCCACCCGGCCAGACGGCTCTGTCCCCGGTCCCATGGGGCCGCCAATGGCGCAGACGGGCCGGGAGCGCCTGGGCCCCCCCAGAGCCTGGCGGTGGTTGCTCCCAGAAACAGATACCCCGCCCCACGGAGGGGCAGCTCGGGTCTGTCTCGGGGACCGATCTGATCACCCCTGACCTCCTGCTCGGGGTGAGGCCCCGTGGGAGCCCAGAGAGCCGGGACACCGTGGGGGGGGGCGGGGGGAGAAGGGCGCCCCTGGCCCGCTGCCCGGGCTCCGCACAGGTGTGTGGGGCCCTGGCCGGGGGCGGGAGGGGCGGTCCTCCCGGGATCAATGCCCACGGCGTCCCGGGAGCGGGCACCCTGCCGGCCAGGCCTGCGGCACAAGGCCCGCGGAGAACAAGGACCCATTCTAGTGCCCGAGCCGGGCCGAGGTCACGCATCGCGGCATCTGGGGCGGGCCTTTCCCACGGCCCAGAGGAGGGGTGTCTGCTTTCGTGCTCCCGCCACAGAGGGGGGGGGCCGCTGGGGACAGGAGCGCGCGGGGTGGGGCCCGGGGTGGGGGGGTCCCCCGGGGAGAGCCGAGCCGCTCCCACGGCGCCATCCCATTCGCTGCAGCGGTTCTCAACCTTCTGGCCCTTTAAATGCAGCTCCTCGTGCTGTGGTGGCCCCCAACCATAACATTATTTCCGTGGCTACTTCGTCACTGTCATGTGGCTCCTGTGATGAACCGTCATGGAAATATCTGATCTGCAGGATGGTCTCAGGCTGCCCCGGTGAAAGGGTCGTGCGACCGCCAAAGGGTCGCGACGCACAGGCTGAGAACCGCTGGCTCAGAGAAACCGAAGGCAGCTGGCCATCCACTGCGGACAAGCCCGCAATCGCCAGGGGCTCGTTGGAGGGAGCCCGTCCTGTGGGCCCGAGAGCGGGCCCTTCGCTGGTGAAGGACAGTGAGGGCCGCACGGCTGGAGGCGGCAGGGCTGGGGCCGTCGATGGGGGCCCCCAGCCCGTCCCCCCGGCAGCCAGGGTGTCCCCTGGGCCTGCACGTCCTGGGACGGAGAGGGAGGCGGCCACAGGCTCGGAGCTGATCCCGTCTCATCCGCTCGCAGCTCAGTTCAAAGGTCCACAAGATCCCGTTCTCGGGGGGGACGTAGACAGTTCCCGGCGGAGGGACAGTGCTCAGGGAGGCCGAGGCCGGCCCTGAGACGGGAACCCCACGCCGCTGGGAGGCCCACGTGCTCCCGTGTAGCTTCCGGCGCCTGAGCGCTCGCAGCCGCCCCCGGGCACAGTCTGTCGACGTGATTCCCAAATTTCACTTGGACACGAGGGGGGGCGGCTTTCTCCGTCGCCCCTGAGAGCTCCCTGGCCCTGGAGCTGGGGTTCGGCTGCTCGGCGGCCAGGACGCCCCTGGGAGACGAACCCAGGCCGTGGGGGGCCGGGGATGGGGCGCCGTCGGCTCGCGGTTCGAGAGAGAAGTCTCCACGGGACGCGGTGGCCCAGGCTGGGGCCCCGTGTGCTCGCCGGTCCTGGTGGCCCCCAGCTGGCTCATTCCGTCCGGGGACCAGCGCCCCGGGCTCCGCTGGGCGGCCGGCCGATGTTATCTGGAGGCCGGGACCCCCTCCAGCGTTGGCTCCGTCCCTGAGTTTGCCAGGGCCCTGGGCCGAGGAGACGCAGAGCAAATAGGGACCAGGGACGCCGGCTGCCATCGCGTCTCGGCCTCTCCCGGCTCCATCAGGGCCGGCGCCGGGTCTGTCCTGCCCTGGCAGGTGGCTGGCCACACCTGCCCTGTGTCCGCGGCTCGGCACCTGCACAGGGAGAGAGAGCAGCAGGGTGAGTCTCGCCGCCAGAGGGGCCCCTGCGTCCTTTTTCTTAATCTTTTATTTTTTTTAGATTGTATTTTAAACTTCCTTTTCAGTTACAGAGGACAGACAGTATTTATATTAGCTTCAGGTGAACGATAATAATGATAGACATTTACGTGGCTTAGGAGGTGGTCGCCCCGGTGAGTATGGTGCCCGCCCAACACCATCAGTCACCGACGTTACACTGTTACGGACCACATTCCCTCAACCTGGTTACACTGTTATCGACCATATTCCCCGTCATCCTGGTTACAATGATACCGACCATATTCCCCGTCATCTGGTCACAATGTTACCGACCATATGCCCTCATCCTGGTCACAATGTTACCGACCATATTCCCTGTCATCCTGGTTACAATGTTACCGACCACATTGCCTCATCCTGGTTACAATGTTACCGACCACATTCCCTCAACCTGGTCACAATGTTTCCAACCATATTCCCTGTCATCCTGGTTACAATGTTACTGACCATATTCCCTGTCATCCTGGTTACAATGTTACCGACCATATTCCCCGTCATCCTGGTCACAATGTTACCGACCACATTCCCTCATCCTGGTTACAATGTTACCGACCATATTCCCTCATCCTGGTTACAATGTTACCGAACATATTCCCTCATCCTGGTCACAATGTTACCGACCATATTCCCTCATCCTGGTCACAATGTTACCTGACCATATTCCCTCATCCTGGTCACAATGTTACCGACCATATTCCCTCATCCTGGTTACAATGTTTACGACCATATTCCTGTCATCCTGGTCACAATGTTACCGACCATATTCCCTCATCCTGGTTACAATGTTACTGACCAAAGTCCCTCATCCTGGTCACAATGTTACCGACCATATTCCCTCATCCTGGTTACAATGTTACTGACCATAGTCCCTCATCCTGGTCACAATGTTTACCGACCATATGCCCTCATCCTGGTCACAATGTTACCGACCATATTCCCTGTCATCCTGGTCACAGTGTTACCGACCCATATTCCCTCATCCTGGTTACAATGTTACTGACCATAGTCCCTCATCCTGGTCACAATGTTACCGACCATAGTCCCTCATCCTGGTCACAATGTTACCGACCATATTCCCCTGTCATCCTGGTCACAATGTTACCGACCATATTCCCTCATCCTGGTCACAATGTTACCGACCATATTCCCTCATCCTGGTCACAATGTTTACCGACCATATTCCCTCATCCTGGTCACAATGTTACCGACCATATTCCCTGTCATCCTGGTTACAATGTTACCGACCATATTCCCTGTCATCCTGGTTACACTGTTACCGACCATATTCCCTGTCATCCTGGTTACAATGTTACCGACCATATTCCCTGTCATCCTGGTCACAATGTTACCGACCATATTCCCTCATCCTGGTTACACTGTTACCGACCATATTCCCTGTCATCCTGGTTACAATGTTACCGACCATATTCCCTCATCCTGGTCACAATGTTACCGACCATATTCCCTGTCATCCTGGTCACAGTGTTACCGACCATATTCCCTGTCATCCTGGTCACAATGTTACCGACCATATTCCCTCATCCTGGTTACACTGTTACCGACCATATTCCCTCATCCTGGTTACACTGTTACCGACCATATTCCCTCATCCTGGTCACAATGTTACCGACCATATTCCCTCATCCTGGTTACAATGTTACCGACCATATTCCCTGTCATCCTGGTTACAGTGTTACCAACCATATTCCCTCATCCTGGTCACAATGTTACTGCCTCTATCCCCCGTGCTGTACATGACATCCCTGTGACTATGTCTATACCTGGCGATTTGTAATTTCTTTAAAACAGCACGCCTAGCTCCAAGGACAAGCTGACCTGGGCCCCACCCGGCCCCGCCACAGCCCGGCGCCCCCTGCAGGAGACGCTGCCCCTCTGCGCTGGGCTCTGCTCCCGGGACAGGGCGGCTGCTGGCCTCTCGCCCGCCCGGGGCCCACGGAGGGGCCAGCCCTGGGGTCCCGGGGCCCCCACCACGGAGCGCAGCCACCTGCAAGGAGGCCTCCCCGGGGTGAGTCAGAGCCCGGACCCGCCCCGGTCGCACCGGCCGTCTGCGCACCTTCCCAGCGGGAGGAAACCCTCCATCGGCTGTTTGTCCCTGAAAGTCCCAGCATCAGCATCAGACATTGGCCTGGCCTCAGTTGCCCTGTGTGGTCTCCCTTGTCTCTGAGGCTCCAGAAAGACGTCTGCAACCTGCCCCCCACCCTCTCGGCGCCCCCTCCCTCCAGGGCGGGGCCTGCGTCACTCCCCAGGGGTCCCCGATGGGCCTTGCACCCGCTGTCCACGCTGAGGGGTCCCTGCCCACGGCTCAGTCCCACCAACAGCTTTACTTCCAAGTGGGGGGCCGAGTTGAGCGGGTCCGGCGCCCGAAGCACCTTGGGTGCAAAGCTGAGGGGTTTGGACTTCACCCCAAAGGCGTGGGGGCCCCGGCAGGCGGGAGGAGCCTGGCAGGGGGTACGTCGGTGTATTTTATGAAGATGCTGACAGCCAGGCGGGAGGGGTGGGCGGGGAGAGGGGGAGAGAGAGCCGCCTGCCGCCTCTGCCCAGTG